ATGGTGGCGAATAATCGATGAGCGGTACGTGCGAGGTAAAACACGCGTTATCGTGGCGGTAAACACGGCGAGTAAACTACTAACGAGTACGACTAACGGTCGTTCGACCGTTGCTGAACATTCCTTGTTTCGCAGAAATGAACGACACGCGGCGCGTTTATTATCGCCAAACATGATTTTAATAAAATGGCAATATCGTTTGTGTGCGGATTTCCTACGCTAGCGTGCTGTTACCACGATAATGAGAATTCCGCGTGCACTTTCATGACTTTAATTATGATATGATAACAATTAGTATAAATTCGATATTTTTTACTGCCAATTATAAACTGACTGAAATCCTTATGTACGAATAAATTTTATCAAAGGAGCTTTAAAATATATATTAATTCATTTAAATAAAATTTAAGTTTCCAAAAATCTATTAAAATAAAATTATTAATTGAAATAATTTCCATTCTACTTATTGTTAACTTGACGGCTAGACATAACATCGCGTACATATTTTCCAGTTTTTCTATTTGTCCCCCTTTTAATCCAGGAACAGATATTTGATTTTTTTTTATTAAGAACGTTTATTAAATAAAGTTTCAATTGTATTGACAGGCGAGATTGGGACGAGTTGGGACGTTTTCGCACTCCGTGATTAATTCTAATTTCATTGCACACAAGTGCAATTATATATATAATGCATCATATTTCAACTGTATTGAAATCGGAATAATTGAAACAAAAGCATACGCTCGTATATTTTATTAATTTTTTTCTGTATTACTGTTGCCTCATGCGGGTATGATAAGTGAGAGGTAGAGATCGATACCGCGATTCGCTCGGACATACACGACCGAATAAATTATTCTTTCGTCAAATAAAGCAAAGCTATGCCATCTACAAAATTATTCCACGATTTCTCCGCGCAGAATATCTACGTGATATTCGTGAACTTTGTGTCTTTGTCATGTAAACTATATCAATTATATATGCACAGGAAACAGATATATATTTAATATCTTATCATTACATATGCAATAGAATGTATAATTAACTGTGATATAATTAAATTTTCTTTAGTTTTAAAATATTTTCATATTACAAATCAAATGTTATAATTAATTTCATTTATATGTGACCGAAAATTGTTATCTTATCTATTTATATTCCAAAAGTTTAATATACCTACTTCCACTTTTAATACTAAAAAACATTAAATTAAAAATTATTTTCTTATTATTAAGCACATATCTTACAAAAGATTTATTACATAAAAAAAAATTTCTTTTCATATTTTTCCAATTATTAAAATCTCAGAAGTGTGTGTCGTATATTTCGAGCAAGAATCTTCCACGCAAAATAGGTTTAGGAAATATCGATTTTTCAGGTGGGCGAAACTCAACGTATATAAAACATATACCTATAACAAAGGAACACCGATAATTATGGTCAGGCCGTATATTCCCCATATTTCCCCGAATATACCACTTTGGCATAAATAGAAGCCTCGAATATAAAACATCGCGGTCTGATTTATCGGCGGTATCGACGAGCTATAGCATAGCTGCAGCAGTAACGATAATATCGAGTATGCGTACGATGTATATATGCGGTATACACGTCGACGTACATCCGTCGTTTCGACGCGACGGATTTAGGCGCGTCGATAAATAACGTCGACAGGTGTGCGAGCACGTCGAAAAGCTCGCTCGCTCGCTCGTTGGCGCGAATGAGCCTTCCACGTCGGCGGCCACGGACCGTAAATTAAGGTCAGAGCCAAGAGCGAGGTAAGCGACAAAACGCGAGAGAGAGAGAAAGAGAGAGAGAGAGAGAAGAAGAAAGAGGAAGAGAAACGCAAACAGATATGCAAATCACGTACACGCTCGGCTGTTTACGTCTGTCGATCTGCTGTCAAAGCAACACGCCGGCGAAATAACGTAGCCATTCGGTAGCACGAGTGATGTTAGACAAATCTATTTTGCGAGTAAACTACAGTTTAATGGAATTTTAATCTCTTAACTGCGTGCAGCTCCCCTAGAAAGCCACTTCACATCTTTCGTTCTTTAGTATAAATTGATCTAACTTAATAATATATGGCGTTAAAAATAGCCAGGTGCTAGCCAGAATCTTTAGTGTTAAAAATTATTTACAGATGGTATCGATTAGCAGATAATTCCGTGCACAGTTGAACGGATTCGCGCTTTGTAATGTCGCAGTTAAAGAATTAAATCGTGGTTGTATCGAAAATTGTAAATGACGTATGAAATTGTAAAAGCGAAAGAAAATAAAGACATCTTCTCTGTATAAATTATGAAAAATAATTTGTCAAATCAACAATGATATCTCTTATTATTAACTAAATTAATTAAATATTAATTTAATTATTTCAAATTTTTTTACACTTATCTGTTATTAATGATGACGTATGAAATTATACAAACGAAAGAAATCAAGAACATTCTCTGTATAAACTATGAAAGATAATTTGTCAAATCAATGATATACATATATCTCTACGAGAAAAATAATGTACAATGTATTTTAGCATCATTATAAAAAAATGTTCTAAAATTACATAAACAATAAATACGCGTTTACATAATTTTTTTTATAGTGTACATTACGCAGCAATATGGGCGCGCGTTAAATGTGATTATATTGCAGCTTCCCTTTAATATTTTAAATTTATGTACTTTATATATAGAACATTAACTCACTTTTGATTTTTGTTTTGCATTCTCTGATTAAGAGTATTTATTCCGGCATTACTCCAGATATTTCTCTCGTTGCAATGGTAATACATTGAAAAATGGGGAAACAAAGTTTCCCTTTTTAACGAAAATAATAGTAATTTTCTCTCTTTGTAGCGATATAACAGCAAATATAATCGTGATGATAATAATAACGCTCCAAAATTATGTAATAACGTTATGACACAGTATCATGTTGTGATAATAACGATGATAATAATAATAACAAATGATTGCAATAATAATAATACAGTAATACTAATGATAATAACGTTAGTTATTCCTCTATATACTCCGAGGTTCGTGTAATCTAAATTCTCCCGCCGAGAGCAAAATATATTTCCACGTAACGATCACGAGCGACATGATATTCGAGAAACCGAGCGGAGGCGACAAACAAGTGGTCGACCCGGAGGGTAACGTGCACCGCGGCATATGTTTCAAGACGATATGATCGTGTATACGCACACATTTTTGAACACGCGTTTACTTTAACTCGTTCGGGCTTCCCTTTAATCCGTGCAATACTAGGATCAAAATTTATTCCGAACCGCTATTTCGAGAGCTTCGCTCTTTATTGGAATCACTTGCTCTATCCGAAGGCTCCTTCCAAATGTTTCAGAGCAGTTTCCGTTAAAATTCTTTCATCCATAAAGATCTCTTACCAACTAAAAATTTTAAAAAAGGTTTCTTTAAAAAAAAAAAAAAAAAAAAAAAAAAAAAAAAAAAAAAAAAGAAATAGAAAGCATTCGCGCGATAAAAAGAGCGCGGTTTGGCATTTCGGGTCGAAAGATCGAGTACGTGTAAAATCATGCAGACGAAAACAGGCGACGATGAACCGGCGACGAGAGAGACGATGACTCTCCCTCGCGGTGACCGAATTGGAGGTTAACCTGTCACTCGATGGCAGATCGATTTTACGACGCGGGAGAAGGGGGGAGGGGGGAAGAGTCGCAGACCGCCGTTCGTCGCACGATTACGAGGAAGCACGATATTATGTAATTTTTGGCACTCACTTTGTTCACCAGCCGTGCGGACGTGCCCGTAACTCGGTGCGATAGTCTCGATGCAGATCTCTTCTTGTTTGTTCGCATAGGCGAGGATATTGGAGATGGACCAGTGATTATACAAAGAGAGAGAGAGAGGACGTGTCCGGGAAAAGCGACGAGGTCACACACTGTGGCAACCACCGATTCGGCAACGGTTGTACACTTCGCGAACGGCGCGAGATAAGAGAATAAAAGAGAAAGAGAGAGACGATGACTCTCCCTCGCGGTGACCGAATTGGAGGTTAACCTGTCACTCGATGGCAGATCGATTTTACGACGCGGGAGAAGGGGGGAGGGGGGAAGAGTCGCAGACCGCCGTTCGTCGCACGATTACGAGGAAGCACGATATTATGTAATTTTTGGCACTCACTTTGTTCACCAGCCGTGCGGACGTGCCCGTAACTCGGTGCGATAGTCTCGATGCAGATCTCTTCTTGTTTGTTCGCATAGGCGAGGATATTGGAGATGGACCAGTGATTATACAAAGAGAGAGAGAGAGGACGTGTCCGGGAAAAGCGACGAGGTCACACACTGTGGCAACCACCGATTCGGCAACGGTTGTACACTTCGCGAACGGCGCGAGATAAGAGAATAAAAGAGAAAGAGAGAGAGAGAGAGAGAGAGGAAAAGAGAGAGAGAGAGAGAGAAAGAGAAAAATGTCAAACTTTATCACGAGTATAGCATGATGCGTGACGGACTGCGTACGACAACGACGACGGGGGAGAGAGGAATAACAACGAGAAGGACGACGACGACGACACGGTTACACACGCGCGACACCACCGACACCGACACTCGATGACGTCATACCACCGGCGGCAACATGGAGCCTGCTGCCGACAAACGTGCGACAACGTGATACGACACGAACACCACGACGTAACCACGACGGACGATATACACGCCGCGTTCGAACCGTTCACTACTCGGCCGCAGCCGTGCTGTGCGCCGTTTATAACCTCAAAACTTTTAGCGTCCGTATAGTCGAGAATGTAACAGCGGACGCGCCCCGTGCGCAACGGCAACGAGACACGAACCCGAACTGAGACGAAAGCCCAGCCGAGCAGCGCCGAACCGGCCCGAACGAGTCGCCGCTCGCCGCCGTTCGCCGCGCGCTTCCATTGGTCGAACGCCCTCCCCACTATCGGCTCGTGTTTCTTCGGCTGCTCTCGTCTCTCGTCACAGATCACACCGAAGAAAAGTAGTAGTCATTCCAACGAACGATGCGAACGTGAAACGTAAGTGCGCGATCTGACACTCTGACAGTTGTAATATATCATAACCTCTTTGTTCGCTTACGAATTATACATCAATTTATTTTGTTCAAACGCGCGAAACAACGACCATTTCAGTATCGTAAACTAATTGGAACGGACATATAGTTTTGCGTGATCGCTCAATTGCGCCTAACTTCACACGAGTCAATTTTCGAAAGGGACCTTCCGGTATCACCACGGTCCAGTCTTCGGAATCTTTGACGATTTTCGTATCTTTGATTGCTTGATTCGTTTGATTCGTTTCTCGTCGACGTGAAGAGGAATTATTATAGACAGCTTATGCAACTGGGTATGGGAAATGATAAGCAATAATTTAGATGGCGCGAACGTTCCGCGAGTAACAAAATAACTTTGTTTTCGAATCGGAATATACATAATGTATTGTCCAAAATCTCGGTTTGATTTATATTTATAGTCATTCATAATAATATTGTAGATAAATAGAATTTAGTAACATTAAAACAGAAATCCTTGAATATAAATATTAATATCTTTGGATGTAAATATTGTGAAAAAGTATTCTATTAATATTCACTGGAAATTAGGAAATTAAAAATCGGCGATTCAGAGTATATATTTAATTTTATATAAAAAATCGATTCTAAATGAGTCGAAAGGAGAGAGAGAATTTGTGAGGCTTTTATATATATATATATTCTGAAAAAGAACTTTCATACCTATTAAATGAAACGCCCACAACTATTCTTTACATCTTACACCACATTATATATTATTAAATAAAACGAATTTATTTTCAGAATTAAGTCAAATCAAGATGACGCCATCACCTTACGTCTCTCGAATAAATCAGATCGATGCCGCTCAGTTAGACACGGAGATTTACAAAGTACTGAAAAATCAAACCAAAGAAATCGCGAGATACAGCGCGCCTGGCAAGATCGACAAATGGCAAGCAGAAGTAGACGTTCTCTTGAAATTTCTCATCTGGAAATTCTCGCTGCAACGAGGATCCTCCACATTCGGCCAGCAACTCCTCAATTTGCAGTACGCTAACATCAATCAGAAGAAAGCTGTACTTTATTTAATTCTAAGCGTTCTACCTCAATATCTGAAAGACAAGTTGGGTAATGAAAATTTTTCGGATCGTGGCGTGCTCGCTCAATGTCTAAAATCGTTCGTCGATTGCACATCGAACGCTGTCAGTCTCCTGGAGCTTATCAATCTGCTCTACTTTCTTCATCGAGGTGTACAACCGCGTGTGATAGAGTTTCTGCTAAATCTGTCGAGTCAGTCGATAACGACGCATCAACCCAGAACAATCGGCTACTCGTACATGACGAGGGAACTGCTATGGCACGGTTTGATGGAGCTCTTCACCATTGGCATACCCATGATCAACTTCCATTATCTGAAGCACGCGGTAACCCGATTCTGGCAGCAAACGGAACTGCAGGTGAGACGATCGTTCCCGGTAATGGACGCCGCGACCAAATGCGCCTACTGTGAGGAGAATCCGATCCTGCCATCGCATGCCGGCTGCACACACGTCTTCTGTTACTACTGTTTGCAAGCGCACTTTACTGCGATGAATGTGTTCCACTGTCCCAGCTGCGATATTGAGCTCCACGCCGAAGATATGAAGAGATACACAATCGCGAGTGCACCGTCGAGTGACGACGAAGAGTCGGACGATAGTTTTGAGAGAGTGGACAATGGATAAACGTGTGAACGTATGTATACTTTTAATTTTATCCATAATAAAAGTGAATCGGTGATCGCGGTGTGACGTGATGGTGGCGGATATAAATTGTGGTGCTTTTATTCTTAATCTATATTAAATTATCTAATATTAAAATAAATTAAAGTAATTTATTATTACGCGGGGGAGGGGAGGTTATTGAATTAAACGAGTTCTGCAGGAGAAGATTCGTCGCAAAGTATGGCGATTAAAATAAGTACAAACGATTTTATTATCATAATATCAGAATTAACTATAAATTCTGGAAAAAATAAAATATAAAAAAAACGAAAAAAAAATCACCTCTCTTTAATCATCGATTTATCACAAAACAAGGGCTATGTCTGATATTAATATTTTTGATTAAAAATAGCAATATACAAAATCTTCTTTATTTTTCATTTTAATACAACGAATCCTGATTTTTTTCGACATTTTTCTTCTTTTTCCGAAACAAATAATAATAATAGATCGGTGTATATACTCTCTTGGTTCTTATCAAAAATTATATTAGATTATTACATAAAAATTTTATGCTGCGCTGTATATTATAAAACGCTATTATAAACGCTTCTTCTGCCGCCGCGCAGGTCGATGGACCGATCATTTACATGCGATAATGATACGTTCATCGATTAATTTAACATTTAGCTGCTGCACCTGCGCTCGATGGGCGGGTACGTCCCCGGATTTATTACATGAGAAACGACATATTATAAGCACTAGAGCACAGAGAAAGGAAAAAAAAAAAATATCACTCGAGTTAAACTCGTATCATCTTCTTTTGGAATGTGTGATTTATAATACAATTATATATATAACGCGGATTTCTTCCTTTTGCGGGAAATCTCTTCTCGCATCTTCTCGCAATGATATCTAATTTCTATTTGTGCTTGTTGAAAATATCCGCGTCTACATTTGCGCGAGTCTACTCTACTCTAATACTAATCTTACATCGCGACGGAATTTGCCCGAAAAATAATTAAGCACTAAAATATGACACGTATAAATTACAAAATTTTATTTTTCTACTTTCTATATCGCATTCCTTTTTTTCAATATCGTAATTTATAATAATATCTACCTCCTCTCTTTCTCTCTCTCCTCCTTAAAATAAAAAATCCTCAACTTGGAAATATAATTTCTCTCAAAGTTTTGCCATTATTTTGTTTGCATACTCTTTTTCGGGCGAACTCCTTAATTGATCTCCGTATTCCTTATATAAGCAAATCGAAGAGATTTCGTTGCGATTTCGTGTTGGTCTTGCTAGGCAAAAAACATAATAAAATTCTCGATGTTTGGAGTATGAAAGAGAGAACGTAATAGTGCGAGACATTCATTTTATCGAGATATGAGAATGATCATAGCGCTATTATATAGCTGTTGAATTAAAGCAATATTACGTCTAAGGAGAGAGATCGACGTTTGATATTATACATTTCAAAGCACGCTCGAGTTCCACAATTTTCCAAACTTGTCCTTTAGATATATTCATAAGATAATATGATGCATTATGAGTAAAAATAAAGATTCGTGAAATCAGTCATCTGTTTAGACTCGGGAAAATTTATCTTAAAATTGTGAAAATTCAATCAAAATTATACAATTGATTGGAACAAAACTAGATGTAATTCCAATAAATTGATTTAATTGATTTAATTCCAGCAATATATTTGGAATATAAATATCAATCAAATTAAATTTTATTTTGATTTCATTTTCACAATTTTGAGAGAGATCAATTTTCACAAATTTTTAAAAAGAATTTTTAGATCAGACCATTAAACTCTGTGATCGAAGGATAATCAATCTTCGAACTATATGAGCAATTGCAAATCTGCCGAGAAATCATTGCTCAACAATATGACTGTGTGGACTTGAAATCCTCCCGAAATTCTCAGAGAAAGTCTATAATTTTTTTTTTTTTAAATCCGTACATATGTATTATATCATTTTTCATGGATGTTTAGAAACCAAGAAAATGGAAGTCATTGGAGACATTGAAAACTAGAATGAATTACGTCTATAATTCGTAAGCTTCACTTCAATGACCAAGTTGTATCTAAAAGGTGAATCTTGCAAATTATGAGCTTAATTCATTTCTAGCTTCGAACGACTCGTATAAGCCAATTAAATTGTATATATATAAAGTTCTCGATAAGTTAGGTAGGAAAGAATGAGTCCACAATTTGCTATGATGAAACAGTATTAATAATTTGTAATATTTTCTCTACCCCGTTCTCGACGCAAAAACATGAAAAAATATATATACTCACGATATACGCTACATAGTAGAAAGAGATAAACGATTTGAGAAAAATTTACAGCGCATTTCTCAAAAACGCAACGGAATTGAAGTCGCGTAATTTCGCGAGCGAGATCGATCGCAATTAATTATACGCGTTAACATTCTGGATTGATCTTGCTCGTTTTCGAGAGAGAAAGAGAAGTCTGTCACGTTATTTGCTGGGGATGCAAAATGTGTCAGGTGAGTAGGGACGAAAAAAGAATAGTGGAGAAATTGCGGTTATACAGTTTTTGAAAACGTTTAGACGTGTGTGTGTGTGTGTGTGTCTTCTCTCTTCCCGACGTAATTGATTCTCATTAATCGAAATGCTTGAGCGCTTGTTTATAATCATTTTTCTCTTTTTGTTTTTCCTCGCACGCGCATTCCCTTCTTTTCTTTTAATGCTACTTTCCGCGATTATATACTTATATATATTACCCGTATATGCTAGATCTTGAACATGATCAGTATACATTTATATAGGAACATTGACGGCTTTCTCTTCAGGACTAAGGAAAGAAACCGATTGCTGGCCGGCAAAGGGATTGTCTCGTTATATACAGATATGTTACACGTTATATACAGATTTACCACGAGTTCTATACTTTCGCGAAGACAGTAACAAGTGTCGGGAAAAGGCTAGAATTTAGAAAAATATGATTTTCTCGACATTCTTCTTTTGCTCGGAAATTTCTGCCTCTGCGATATATCCAAAAAAATAAACTGATTTAATTTTAATCACGTCTTATCACAACTTGGGAAGATTATTTTTCTTTCAAGTTCTTGGAACTCGAAACATCCTGCATAAGTGACGGTGTGCAGACGACTTTCGAACGAGAACTTTTTAAGCTCGCTTGCGCTGCTTCGTTGATTCATGATTACGCGTACATTTTATCCGCAGCGACAGAAAATATATCACACGATTCTCGTTCGATCGCGCATTTCATGCTTACAAGATGTCATCTCTCTCATGGCAGTTATCATTTTGACGAGATACCCTTTACCGACACAGAACAATGATCGGTATCGCAACTTGTTGCTGCCGCAAAAATATTATGTCTTGTCGTCTGCGAAGACGAAAACTATACATTAAAACATAGAGCAGCGTAATTACAAATGCAATTGGATGAAGGTGATATATATATATATAGATATATATATACATATATGTAGCACTTAGACACACAACTAACAATAAAAATTCAATGAATTATCAATCTCTCAAAGAGATGATTCAAAAACATTTCAAATTTTTCGAATGGTCTTTAGAGGTCTATTAAACATATTTTCAACTTTTATATTCTTAATTAAGATTGAATTAATGGTCGTTAGTGATGAAATATCTAACACGAATTAAATCCATTAAAAATTACGCTGTCACTAATATAATAACTGTAGTATCCTGAAGATATATCAACAATCAAAGTAACTTTGCATATCAGAAAAATTTAAAATAAAGATTTCAAATTTGTAACAAAACAGAATTTAATTTTTAAAGAAACTACTTTTTTCTATTAATATTAGAAATCTTTTATTATAAAGTAATTAGCTAGTAATACGAGACTTTATAGATATTAAAGATAAGATTTATAAGTTATTTTCCTAGGCACAGTATACTTGTCAAAATCATCATTATTATTTTACATATTATTTTATCTATGCATCATTATTATTATATTTGTGCTTATATTAGAATGTAATATACCACCTTCATCATCTTGCAATTGTTATTGTACGGTCCTCGTAACGATCGGATTGTACGATCGTACCGGAGGAAACTTTCTATCTTATATCATCATTGTTATTATCGTTGCCATTAAACAAAAAAAAAAGAAAACGTGAAAAGGACAATAGAACCGGACAGTCTAATATTATATCACACGTATTGCGCGAATAATTCCTATTAACTTATTCTTTTTAATGTTCCGATCTAACTCGCAAGCGCACAAATAATTTACGCTTAAAAAGATTTCGCAAAAGACTTAGTCAAGAACTCTTCGCAGTAAAATCGTTCGTTAGGCATGTTCAATCGGATGGATCGTGCGATCCTGCCTTCTCTATTCCGACTTTTCGGCTCAAAGATTTCACGAGAGAAGCTGGCGATTTTCCCCTCGTCTACAAAACAAGTAATAAAAATCATACTTTTTTTGTTCGATTTAGAGTATCAGCTCAATGTGGATAACGCGCGTTATGTTGAAAAATGCGCGTGACACACTTAAGAACTTATTTACCTAACGCTTTCATTCCTTTGTTCAAAAAAAAAATTAACAAAAATGACGCTTAAAAAGTTGAATAAATTATACCGAAAACAAGATATATCTTATGTCTATAAAACGATCATTTTGCGAAATCGACTGCAATCGACAGAGCTTTTTGCGTGCGAGGATAATCGGAAAAAATCTAAACTTGGCAATCGTTTTAACTTCTATTCGTTTTTAAATTCTATATAAACTATAATACGCACATATCTTGTCTAAATATTATTATTGTTATTACATTTTATGTCACAAATATCATAGAAAAATTATAGAGAGTTTTGCATTTCTTGATATCATTAAATTATATTAATTTGTAAATTTTATATATTTTATATATATTTTTATATATTATATATAGTTTTTATGTATTATATATGTATAATTTTTCCATTTTTCACTGTTATTTCGGTATCGTTCTCTTAACTTTGCCAAGTTTAGAACTAGTTTAACAACAAAAGTTTTTTTAATTAACGCAACGATTGTCGTTGCGAATTGAATACTTAGCTACCGACATTTTTTTTTTTCGGTTAGCTCCTCGAAAAGTATCGTTTGTGGTACGCGGAGAGTAATTCGCGGAATATTTTTCGCTATATAGAATTTATTTTATACTATTCTATTTTCAATACACGCGTTACACGAAAAGTTCTTGCGGTCTATTGTTTGACATGCGTCCAGCGTCTTTCGCGAAATAATTAATAAATATTTTGTAACTTATATATATATATATACTTGCTTCGTGTAAAACTCGAAATCGCGCAACCGCATGCGGAATCTGTGTTATAAATCGCATTTAATTAATGTGCAATGTCGAATCGTTGATCAGTACTGGTCGGTTGTTTAATTAATTTCGACATTTAGATTAAACATTTTGGCCAACTTACGGTCGCACATTCGAGCTTAGTCTGAATTAAAGATAATGTAAATTTTTGCTAGGACGAAAATTCGCTGAACACACGCGGGACATCCCTCGCCCATCGCATTTCATTCTAAATTCCTGATAACTCTGATAATCTTTTCTAATTTTTTTAGATTTCATTTTAGAAACACATTTATACCCATTTCACATTTCACATTTCACATACTCATATACATGCATTCACTCGCATTTACTGATCATCCGTTCATCAAGCGAACCATCACATGATATAACGAGTGAGACGCGCGCATCGTTTCGCGAATTTTATAATATAAGCGTAATTTATCCGATGACTTTTTTGCCAGCGATTGGCACGCTTGTTTAGAAACGTTAATTGAATTACGGAATCGATATAAGATTCGAGAAATATTTCGATTTATATCAACAAGATGAAGCAATAACGACGCGTCCATCGTGGCTGGACAAATATGTAATAAACGGAGACAGCGAAAATATTAACGACTATCCTAGATCCTAAGGCACCTTTGGGCGCGCGCCGAGAACAGCGAAAAAAAAATGAAGAAAAAAAAGACTACAGCCAGTTCCCGGCCACAAAAATAACTTTCTCCTTCTTAATTCTTTTACCGATACTTAAGTAATTTCAAATCAATCAACATGCAAACCGTTCGGCTATCTATCTCGCGTTTGTCTATTCCCGCGGTACAAATAACCAAATAATAGTCCTTTTGGTTTCCGTGAATCTCTTGAATTCGCATTCGTTCCGCCCGAACACCCGATATAACAGCGTAATGGTACTCGCAATTACGCGCGCGCGCGCGATTGGAATTGTTAAGTACTTATTTTTTAGCGTAATTAATGTTGGCAGATTACGCCATGCGGCGTCTCTGATCGGCTTCGAGAGCGTTGGTACGCCGTCACGTTTGGAACGAATAGCGATCAGTATTCTTTTACCATTTGGTGTCCAGATTGCATTTGTCTGTCGATGCCGACAACGTGGACGCCTTCCGTTCGGCGCCGGGCGCGGCGCTTCCAGAGAACGGACTCGTTCGTTTGTTCATATCTGAGAAACGAGAACGAAATTATTAATAACAAAAGAAAAACTATAATTCCAATTGTTTTTCGGCTGTGAAAATAGCTTTCTATTTGTTAATTTTTTTTTTTATAAATAACTTTAAATCGTTGCATGCAAATTATTTGACTTTCTATCCCACAGTAGAATAAAATAAAATAAAGAAAGAGAGAGAGAGAGAGAGTGCGGGCGCGGCGCTTCCAGAGAACGGACTCGTTCGTTTGTTCATATCTGAGAAACGAGAACGAAATTATTAATAACAAAAGAAAAACTATAATTCCAATTGTTTTTCGGCTGTGAAAATAGCTTTCTATTTGTTAATTTTTTTTTTTATAAATAACTTTAAATCGTTGCATGCAAATTATTTGACTTTCTATCCCACAGTAGAATAAAATAAAATAAAGAAAGAGAGAGAGAGAGAGAGAGAGAGAGAGAGAGAGAGAGAGAGAGTGAACTGTCCACATATGCAACATACCAGATATTAATAGCAATATTTTGCGCCTCGCACCCCAAGCGGTAATCCCGATTTCGCAGAGATCCTTCTCTGTCAGAGAATGAAACGTAGACATGTCCACCTCATGAGATGTGAATAGGCCTGGCGTACGAAAAAAAAAAGCCGATGCTGTTTCGATTTTTTCATACAAAAGCAAGAAGCAGTAGCAAGCAAAGCAATAGCAGCATTCGATAAGCGATGTATGATTATTTTACAATGATTGTGACTCGCCAATACTCACGTATATATTTCTCCAAACCGATGCTGGTTAGCATACTAGCCAAATCATTAAAACGATGCGACGATGTAATTTTGTTCAAATGGGAGGTCGGTGTGTGATCTATATAATTTGATGCCATCCCTATCTGTCCAACGCGATCTTTGCTCGAGATAATATTACCGAAATCCATCTCGGTATTGAACACCGGCGTGGTCGGTTCTTTCCACAAGTCTGAAGGATGTGACATCAGCTCCTGTAAAAAATTCTGACATCATCATCTTAACACGATTATTGACTAAGAAATATTTCAATATTCGATTCGTCTTGCTAATAAATTATTAAAAGTTCTATTATTTTTTTTTTTTTTTTGTAAGTAGCGCTTTTTAAGCAATTTTTTAATATTGAAAAAATATCGACATGAATCCTAATAGATTTTGACTTTTTTTTTATAAATCTTTATTGTTGATTTAATTAAATCAAGGAATTTTGTGGTTACCTTGCTTAAGTCACTCGTAATTAAGGGCGGAATACTCTGGCTGAGGCCATAACCAGACCACGCGGACGTCGGCACGCGGAAATCGTTGTTATTCGACTTGTTTTGCACCGCCTTTGTGGCTAATAGCTTCTTCTGTTCATAATCGAAAGGCGTGAGATGTTGCTGCGCAGCTATCTCGAGTGATTTTTTCTCGCAACCAGGTGCACGTCGATCGGTGACCGGTAATTCTGATAACATGCTGGATAAATCCGCTAGAAAAACATTGGAAGTTTATTATTATTCCCATAGAGATTGTTGCTAAGTACTAAAGATTGAATTTTCTCAAAATATTTAACTTACATAAGTTAGGACTAGTATCCGTAGGATTGACTGGTGAAACGTTACGAGGACTGATAGCAGGACTAGATAGAGAGCTAGAGACGCTGCTTAGCGAAGAGTAAGCTGAAAACGAGTTCATAAATCGGGTAAAAATCAACTTCAGTTACGACGTGTGTCGTAATACGGATCTTTATAACAGAAATAATATCAGAATCATAAATTTCTTTTTTAGTATTAAATTACATAACAGTGTTGTAAAGAATTGTCATAAAAATACTTTCCAGGAAAATACGTTTATGTGATGTAACAATCAAAAAGTGAAGAATTTATTGAATATTCGTGAAAAAATTGAGATTCGTAAAAATGTAGAACGTAAAATAAATCGAGGACTAATTACTTACCACTGCTACCTTCTTTGCTATCCGTTAAATTAGCGTTGAAACCATGAATATTAGAAAAGTTGCTCGATATGCCGTTAGAGTGATAACCGATACCGGAAGGTATCATATGATTCGATAATCCATGGGGGCCATGGGAAGTTCCCATTAAATTGTTGTGCAACATGTTGTGTTGCGTCGATAGCAAATTTAAATGAGGGTAGGGAGAATACGCACAGATGGGAGGAATATAATGTGTAGGAAGATTCCAGTGCGACGGTAGTCCTATGGAATTCGGCGAGTGTGAAATCGGCGACATACAATACGATGGATTCTGCGTGTTTATATTCAACATACTCGAAAAGCTATCTGTCACACCACTCATCAGATTGTTGTTGACGCCTAATTACAAAAAGAAAAAGAATTAAGATAATGGTATTGATAATTCTCTCTTTTTAAATTCTTTTTTAATTTACAATTCATTCGAGATACGGATACAATTCATTTTCGTCAAACTACGACTATTATACGGAAACATACACAGTTATAGGCACAAAACAATTTTGCTCTGAAATGAATTTACTGAAAAACTTATTGAAATTTTTATTGGATTGAACTGTATACTTTGGGACACATCTAAAAATCTGTGTTACTCAGGTAGAATATTTTTATTACCTGTTGCCACTATTCTGATTTTGAATGATTTTAACAAAGGATACTTACCGATGTCATTATTATTATTGCTTTGGAAAACACTGCCAGCGTTCGGAATGTGATACATAGACGGTATCTCGGCATGAACTCTGGGCTCGTCCAATCCCAACAACTGCTTTCGCGCTTCATAAATATTACTGGCGTTTCTCTCGATTCCTTTGATAATCACGGAAAGTGTGCTTTGTTTTGGTTTATGCCGAACGTTAATAAACACATCCAAGGATTGCATGAGTTGGGAGATCTTCTCAGTATCCACGGTAGCGGATATAGAATCCTCCGGCAGATCGAACATGAGTACTAACGGTAACGATCCCTATAAAAATACGTTGTTATATTATTTTTTTAACTTATTCGCAGAGAGAATCGAAATCGTAGAGATATAATTACGTAACACATAAAAAATTATTTCGCAATTAAGCGTCAAGAAATGTATATTTACTTATTTGGAAGTCAATAATTATTACGAAATCTAAGAAGAAATAATTTAAAATTACAATAGAATATAGAATGTAAAATTACGAAAATTACAAATGGAAAAATGGCGCTTAATAAAACTCTTTATTATGAAAAAAAATAAGCTCGCTTATATACAATTTTAATACTGAGAAAAAAAATGTAAAAGTTGGAATTAATTATAGAATCTCGGATGTAAATTTATTTGCTTACCACTAATTGTTGTCGAGCCAAGTAAACATTATGTATACCGCCAGTGATCGTGACATTGCTTTTCTTGAGGCTGGGTATATTCGGATCGCCGGCATCGGGAAACATAATTTGCGTGGCGGTACGCTGCATTATTATCTTCAGATTGCTGCTCTGTTTCCCTAGCACAATGCTATGATGTTGGGGTGAAATCTCCATCGACATTTGTACTTGAATTTGACTCTATGAAAAATGAGATTTTTTGAAAACGTAACAAGAGAAAATATTTACAATTTTTTTCATATCGATTTATCGCAAAAGAAAATAAAAATTAAAGAAAATAACAAATCGACGTAAATAAATTAGAAAATATTTAAAGAGAGCTAAATATAAAACAATGATTATATAAGGCGCTTCCATACTTTTGTAGAAAATTGAAAAAATCCCAAGAATTTAATTTTTTCAATGTTAAGATTGATTTTCTCAAGTTCTTAAGAGAGAACGAATCGGAATCTTTCGATTATTCTTGCTACTTACAGCCAGGTTTTTGCACATATAACGGATTAGCAGATTCGTTGCCTCCTTGACTTGGGAAACCTCCCATTCGCATCCCTTGACGACCACTAGGGTAGCGTGTAACTTCGGTCTGGTACGAAACATCACTTGCACATTGTATTTCTCCTGTATCTTTATGACGTAGGGTGAAGTGCAGTCCGGCATACTTTGCGACGCGCCCATTATAGGCAATTCGAACGAAAAGATCAGAGGTGTCAGATTCTAAAATACGAAAACGGGAATACTGAGTTGATGTTTACAATGTTATGAACGATCTTTCTTAAGGTGGGTGTACGTTAAAAGAACGAACAAGCAGCGAATGTAAATCTTCGTTGTTAAGATTCGGAAGATGTTCACATCTGGCAAACAAGAGCGTGCTATTCATTAAACTGTAGATGATTTATAATTCACGGCAAAATTCGAGATAGAATTCTATTTATAATTTTATATGTCCTATAATACAAAAAAACATGTGAAACGAAATACATACATACAACGAAATGTACAAATTACGTCAGAATGCACATATATATTAGATATATGGCACATAAAATTATAAATAAAATTCTATTTTGAATTTTGTTGCGATTGTAGATAGTTTAAAGTGGATTTTACAGAATATTGATTCGTTCGTTCGTTAACGCTGTTCGTTTGTTAGTCATTCCTAACCCACCTTTATAGAAGACTATTTTCCAAAAATCGTCTATTTTTTATCCTCGAGATTTATTTTTTATTACGTAACACACATATAATACTCAATGTAACATTAAATGTCTTGGTATTTAACACACACAAACACACGCCTGAAATAAAAGTTCTCAATGAACGTAACGTACAATTAACTGAGAAATAACATTCTGTTCGATTTTAATACATCAAAACATTTAATTTTCAATCACATATAGGGGAATATAAATTTTGTGGATTTTCAAAAAAGTATCCCTTCTATATCTATTAAAATTGCAATCATATTCATACAAAGTGTACACCTTCCGTAACATCCTAGACACATATACGTCATAAACAAAGAAACTCACCCTAACACGTGCGCGGGCGCGTTCGACGCTCTCCATTTCACCAGCGATAGAGACTTGATTACTCTTGTCCTGGTGATTGCTGCGGTTACTGTCTGGGAAATGGATGTGGCAGCCAGTTTCCTCCATCACTCGCTTAATTGTCAGACCACCCTTACCGATGATGTGCGAATGATCGGTGTAACTAACATCCAGTTTCATGGTCACTCTGTTACTTTGCTGAAAGTAAGATTAACCGTCTGTCTTCAAATTGACACGCAACATATTTTTATATTATTAATTCTATATCTCTATCATCAACTGTAGTCTGTTTGATTGATCATTCAATATCCTTGGGATTCCGCCATTACTTTGACAAAAAATAAAAATTACCGGCGCTGCAAGAACCGTGATTTAGAATTTATTATTATTAATAAATATTGAAAATTAAAAGATTGTATCATCTCAATGACGATGATTTCTAATAAAATTGCCAATGAAAGCGATATAGATAAAATTTTCGATGACAAATTTATATTAGTGATTAATATGTTTTTGTGTGTGATGAAGAGTTGAAGTGAAATGAATTCTATTAATAATAGTGGTCGATGAAATCTTCGCGGAGAAAAGAAAACGTTACTATTTTTCCGCAAAATAAATCGTTATCGATAGAAAGTACGTGTTCTCCGGTAGCGTCCTTTTACGTTGTACTTATTTATCCGACCATTTATATGCGCATTATGTTTCGTATCTTCGCCAATTTCGAGATCGTTGACTCTGCATGCGTGAGCCTCTCGAAGCATATCATGTGCCGGAGATATGCCGCGAAAAGACTCGTGTGCGTGCGATTTTAAATATCACGTGGCCGAGCATTACATAAAGTCACGCGATTACGTCGCGCGATCCGCTGTCGCAATTTCAGAAACTTCTTCCTGACTCTATAATGCTTCTTCTGCGAAAGATATCTAGAATGTCTCAAAATATCCGGTATTTGCAATGATAAAATTGTAATAGTTTTATAGACACAAGAAAATATTTGTGTTTTTTTTTTACGATTGGACCAATAATCAATCAACACTCTCTTTGCGAAAAGATAATAAGATAATGTTAACAAATCCGATGAAAATATACAGCTTTTACATTTGACAAAATTTTGCTGGTCAAAATTTAAATATAATTTACACAAGTCTCCTGAATTCAAAAATAAGTTATAATTGCTCTAAAAACATTTTTTGCACAAACAACGGGATATATTAATTAATTAAATATTTGAACTGCTTTGGTTAAAATTTAATAGTAAAAGCCCATATAATGTTCTTGTCTATGCTCTGTCATTTTATATATATGACATTTCATATATTCAGCATAATTTCGGAAATGTAATCAGACGATGCGATTGCAGAATTCAGAACGTCGGCATCCTACATCAGCTCAAAAAGACATTGGATGTGCACGCACGTGTTCAGGCTCTATAAATAACAGCGTGCTATTTACGCGCCATTCGCGATCCGTAATTAGCACTATGTATATAATGTCACTGTCTCACTGTTTTTGCATGCTTGACACGCGCAAAGCTTGGCGTCTATTTTAAAATACATAGAACCGTGTGTGCGATGCAAGAGAAAAGCGGATCAAGCGAATCACGGAGAAAGAGGATGATTCTCGTGCCCGAAAACCGAACGTGGAATTTTATCTTTGTTTCTCAGCAAAGAGTTATACGCGTTCCTTCCAACCACATCTTTCCTCGCGCCGTTTCGGTCTCTGTATATTCGCGTCTCTGGAACGCGCGCGTACGTCGGAATGCACGTTAACAGGAATGCAAAGTAACTGGAATTGATCGGTATGGCCGGCAAAAACGACAAGTCCGGCGATTTAACGGTAACAGAACGACGTCTCGTCGCATCGCTTCGTAGTTCTTTAAACTGAAGGGAATACATGGATATGATACAAACGACAAGCAGTGATCCAAGTCGTTTTTCGCAGAACTTTAGAAAATAAATTAAAAAATTGCGAAATTTAAGTTTGCTTAAAATTGGTTTAATCTAAATCTAATATTAATGTAAATCATAAATTGTCTGCCCTGTAATTTAAACTCGAATGTAATCTTTTTCACTTCAAGATTTTCATTTTCTCGAGTTATTAAGAAAGTGAGCGCGTTAAATATCTGATCAAGATGCTTACGCTCTCGTGTCGTTTTGTAATGGTCTTTAGCCTCTCTCGCTCTCTTTCTCTTTGACGTACGCCTAAACATTCAACGATTCGCTTTCTCGCCTGAAAATTCGTGACCGCGAACGACGCATAAATAGAAAACATTCTTCCTGCACGACCATGCAGGAAGGTAGACGAGAAGGAATGAGAGCTCCTTCCTTTTCGCTCTACCGCCCATCACTCCCTATTTTTTTTTACTTGCGACACGCGTCTGATAATTAAGCAGAAACGTGCATAAAAAAATATGCAGAAAAAAGTAAAAAAAGGCGATCACAAGCCGAAGAAGCTGGTTTGAAAGTCTAACGACCCGACGCGACAAGAACCTGTCGAGTTAAACATCGACAGCTGCTGATTTCACTCGCGATCAGATGAATAAGGATTTAAAGATTTAATAATTATTATTATTATTCTTATTCACGCGTATTAAACGCGAAGATCTATAAAAAACTTGTTTGTTTTTGCCATCTTTGACCGGCATCTTTTTTGACAGATATAAATATATATCCTTATATTCGTAAGACTTGTATAAATTACACAACACTTATTACATAACTTCTCTGATTCACTATCATAAATATTTTCTGCTTTATGAATAATATTCTAATTAAACTATATTAGAATCATTCCAAATATTCGACATATAGTTGTGTAAAAATTAAGACAATTTTTATCTACCTTTTTAATTTTCCAAATTTTTCGCAATTTAAAATCGTACTCTCACTCTCTCCAAAACGTATCGTAAAATCGAATTGAAAAAATTTGTATTCATTTTTGTTGCTCTTGTGGATATAATACAATTGAATACAATCAAAATAAAAAAATAAAAATTGAAAAGAAAGAAACATATGTCCCTTCTCCTATGACGTGTAATCGAAGTCAGTAATCGCGCATATTTGCCGCATTCTTCAATCATTGATAATAGTATTAATAAGCATTTTGCACTCGATCGCAAACAGCAAGTTTCGCGTGCGAAACTTCGTTTCCCGTATCGCGAGACAAAAGATTACACCAGCTGAAGCAATGTTACGCTGGAAGTGATAAGGAAAGACTCCAAAATCGTTCGATATTTGCAACTTCAATATTCGAGGAATTTCCTTTATACCCTGACATATTTTTTCGAATGATTTCTATTACGCCGATAATATAATTGTCAACAGTATCATTCAGCCACGTTACGCATTTTGATTACTGATATGCATATCAATAACATTATGCACAGATAATAATTTATTATAATATATTCATATTAAATATTTTATCGATATATATGTCGAGGAATATGACTTACCCGTGTGTCCAAAAGTTCCATTATTTTTTCCTTTGCTGCTCGTACGTCATCTAGTCGTCCTGCGACTTTTATATGCGGATCTGCGAAAAAAAGACAGAAGGTTGAATTACAATGATGGTCGCGTGGAAGTATAAGAGTGATGACATATCGCGCCTTTATTACACCAAACAATCAATTATAATTATCCTCGTTAATTACACGTTAAATTCTATTCCGTCACTGTAAAAATATATGATAAATCAAAAATAATAACTCTTTTACATAACAAATGTATTCCCAATTCTTAGAATGTAAGGCAAATTCTTAAAAGGGTATTTTTATATTCCCACGTATCTTTTTTATCTATGTTTTTCAGATTAATTATATAAGAGAAAAGAGAAGGAAACCTCGAATAATCTTAATCTTTTGAAAAATTGAAATAATCGGTAAAGATTTCATCGACGATGTTTTCATCAACATTGTTTCATCGATAGCAAGTTTAACAAGTTGACAATATGTTATCATCGATATATATACATGTATATTTATCGACTTGTGTGTACCATCGGAAATGTTTAGTTTGTAACGAGTTGAAAAATTTTTTCTCAGAACGTGCGAGATCATTCCCTCGTAAAGATGACGAACTTATTACTTGCCTGATTAGATGTGCAGCTATGACGTCACTGACATATACCAAAATAACGCTAATGTTGATTCAATAAAAATAACGATGACATATTGTTGTTGACATACAAAAATCGATGAACGTTTATGTTGATGAATTTATGTCGATGGGTACGCATATCGTCGGTCAAACTTGGTGTCGGCGAAATTATATTGGCGAGATATATCTTTTTTTCATTAATGCAAATGTAAAACTCCGAAAAGTTATAATGCGTAGAGCCACGAAAATAATAAGACGTCACTAGAGAGAACGACAGAAGATATTTTGAAGTCACTTTTAGTATTCGCGAAGCGCAGGCGCGCTTCTTCCTGAATGCAAGGCCTTCGACTAACGTGTTCCAAAGTCGAGTGCGATGATGCGTCATGGACGCTGCATAATAATCGTGCGTACACGTTTCGCTCGCTATTCGTTTCTTATCTCTCATGTATATTACTTAATAATTTATCTATTTACGGTGATTGAAAATTAGATATATTAATTTTTAAACATTAATAAGCAATATGCACAAAATAGAAAATAAATTTTGAACATATTTAGAAATGCGTGATTATTAATAAAAAAAAAAGGAATTGAGTTTTCCCTGGTAATTATGCAGTTATCTAATACTAAATATTAAAAAATTTTTAAAGAATGATAAAATATTAATTTTAAGTTAATATTAAAATTTATTCTAATAAAAATTGGATTGAGTGTTTAATTATTAAGCTATCATTATTATTTTTGTGAAATCTTCTAAAATTGGCAATTATTGTGAGGTTTCGATCGAAATATATTCGTTACGGACAATCTCCTTGGTAATGAAGCAAAAATACATTGCAGAGACTTTGCAATCAAAACAACGATATCATATGGTCTCATTAGTATTTTTATGTCATAAAATTTGCTTTTAATCTTTCGTTCTCTCTTTCTCTCTCACTTAAATAATAATTATATAAGAGATATCACGCGGAAAACAACACGATATATATCCCGCACTGCTGTCTTGAAAATCGCAGCGCGATTAATTCCCTTCAATCATAAACGCTTTGATGGCTCTCGAAAATGCTACGTAAGTGCGATCATCTATCACCTCTCACAACTATTCAGATTATTTTTAGAATCGACGCGACGGTAGCGGATTCTTTGGCGCAAAACTTTAAGGCCTGACCTGACCTCTATAGCTGTCGTGCATACAAAGTCGATGAGTCCTGTTTGCACAAAGCGATAAGGAATTGTTGCAATAACAAGAGAGGGGGCAGGTGCAGGAGGCTCGTCTGATAATTCGAATGATATAACGTGTATCTTAAATAGAACATGTATCGCTATATATTTTGATAAATTTCCGGAAGAGAAAACTGCATACGGAATTTGTATGAGAAAAAACAATGATAATGTTGAAACATACAAAGAGAAATTGTAATAACAAGCATATGAGAGTAAATTAGAATAATTATTTAACAATACATTATTTGTATCTGAGAGAACAAGGACCATGTTTTCTATAAATCAACAATAATGTATGATAAAATAATGTATTACAAAAATGGATATTAATTATTGAGCCATTTAATATTGATACTTTTGGACAAGAAAAAGAATCGCGTATTTATAAGAAAAAATAATTTTTTAAATTCGTCCCAGCATATGTCTCTTTATATTATCAATTTGTTTTATTGGCTATTCTGCATGCAGATTTCCACACACACACGTAAGAATCCATGCTCTATCAATTTAAAATGAATTTAATTAAGCGGAATAAAGCAATTCCCCTAGCGATATTTCCCCTTACCGATAATCTTATAAAGTTACCCGATCTCGGTCGAGAATGAAATTAATCAATGTGATGAAACAGTAATAATATGGAGTCACGCGATATCTGGTGGAGTCTTTTGGGGTACTTTGTAAACAAGAAAAATATGCATTCCTCCATATCTGTGAACTAACAATAAATACAATTGCGAGGTAGCATGTTCAAATAGAAAATTCACGATTTATTTTAGAATAATCATAACTCCGATTTCGAAATAAACGTAAGCTTCTTATCTCTTTCCTTTTTTGTTATTGTTGGTTTTAAATTTTCAGAACGTGTAAATTATGAAAATTTACAAAATAGTTTAGTGCTAAATTGTATTTTTCTAGTTAAAAGTTTACTCAAATTTGTAACTTCAATTTTTATTTCTCTTTTCTATTAATTTCATTGTGAACCATATTTCTTTGTTCCACGAATTAGAATAATACTTATTATAAGTCCTAAAACTCTACACATAGTTTTATCACTCGAAAACAATGTGGCTTACGTGACTCGAGGCACATTCGCGGGGAAAATTAAAGCGGCTGCATGATATTGATTGACGCTTAATTTAATCGTAGACAATTATCCAGCTAGTTTGACTCGACTGGAATTTTGTTGATCTTGCTGCGGAAAATATGCGATGGCTGTTTCGAGAGCGGGTCAAATCGCGAGAAGATATCCTATCGCGGCACGGGCGAGATAACTCGATATACATCTATTAACCTTGAGAGCGTATGTTGTGAATCAATTTGACCCATTCGTTGCCTGAAATGTAAAATCTACTTGTTGATAAAATCACGAGACCGTATATTAAATTAATATTTAGAGTTTATCAGAAATATTAAATTAATATGTAGAGTTTATCAGAAATATTAAATTTTTTTTATAATTAAAAATTAATTATTTGATTAAACTGGATTTATATATACATGGTTACAATCAAATCTTTAAAAACTTTTTGATTTCTGGATTATATATCGTATTAATTATATCATTTGTTAAAATTTTATTTTGGAAAACTGTATATCTAATGATTTTATTAATCAATTTAATTCAATATACTAAGAAAATTTATTTTAACTTAGATGAAATTTTTTTATATTATTGAAGCGATGATAATTTTAATTTTATTTTATATACGAAATAAAATTTATGCAAGCATGAATACATGCATAAAAAATATCAAATAATCAATAGATCAGAGTAACATTCTATAAATTCTGTCTGCGAAGTTTAACGACACAGATTCCTGCCAGTCATTGATTCCGCAATTACGTTCGAGAATTTATTAGAATGATCACAATAAAACTTGTGAATGGCTCATTAATAATCCGCATTTTGCATTTACATGATATCGTATGACATATCGTATATATATGGAATATTTCTTGCATTCTGATAATCTGAAATCATGACGAACAATAAGATATGCGAGTTTATTCAGTACTAAATTACATAGGTTGCCACGCGTGGATTCATAAAAGAATAAAAGAAAGAAGAAGCAAGCGAGAAAGAACGATAGAGGGGAAGGAGAGAGATGCAACAGCTGTTTAGATCACGAGGGAGGGATGAATCACCGAAAAATTTCCACGAGGTCCGATCGAACGTTGGTTTAAGTTTAAGCGAACGAGCGGTGGATCGAGTCACGTAATTTATTTGCCAAGAGATAAATGAAATAATATCTCACAATTGACCTGAAACATGTTCGGACAACCGACTAATCAATCGTGGCAGATCTGTTTGAAATCCTTGAATATTTATCGCATCCTTTTGCAATCAAATACGGAAATCGTTTCCTTATCTGAAAACTTTTAGTTTAGTGATTCTTTTCGCAATTATTTTTAATGAGTTGTCACAAGTCAACAGGTTGTTAAGTGATTCATGACTAAAATGATATTATGAAACATATTCACCGCTCTCTCTTTTGTTTAATTACCTTCTTCTCTCTTATGAATTTATTAGAATTTCAAAACTGAACTTTTTAGTAAAATTTTGAAAAAAGGATTAAAGCAAAAATTTCTATCAAAAATCCAGTTTTTATTTCGGCTTTAATTAAATAAAATTAATTTAAAGATTTTCTGCAAAGTGTGCAAATTTTTTTCGGCGGTATATGATTACACAGCCCCGATGACAAAACTTTAAATAGCGATCGTAAAGCAAAGTGCGCAACTCAGCTGACATAGAGGCACGACCCATTCGATTGACGTAATCCGCGAATAATGACGCGTGTTCGACTAGGAATCCGAATGTAATAAATTCGGCGAGGGACGTAAAAGATAATTTTTGCATTTCCTACTAGTTTTTCAAGGACGAGTAACGCGTCGAGAATCTTAATATCATATCACCTTCGAGTTTCTGATACTTCCGCTAGTGTGTCGTTTCTCTTTATTCTCATTGCCACGTGGAAAATGCAATTATCCTTCGAATTCATGAATACTTTTAGACAAATTTCGTTCGAATTTCAGAAAGGAAACATTAGTTTTTAAAACCAGCTTGCCCCTTCGAAGATTATTATTCTTCACAATTCCTTATGATTTGCTATTAGTGACTTTAGCAATAATCTGATTATTAAATTAGAAATTATAGAACGCTTAAAATTTCTATTAAAAGTTTCTTAAAATTAAATAAAAAACGATACATCATTGTCTGATTATACATATTTTGTGCACGTGTTTCCACTTGTCGATATCATATGATGATGAAGATGCTGTTGTTGTTGTGTTAAATTAAATTGAAATGAATCAGTCATTTTAGAAAAGACATTGCTCCCGAGTTCTGATTCATCAGAGAAAACGTGAAAAAGATATTTACTGATATTAAGGCAATGATATTCCATTACCACACATATACACACACACATATATGATCGTATGATTACTGCAATTAGACTAATAATTAACTCTGTAAGAGATAGTAACATCTTCTTTATATACACAAATACATATAAAGTAAGTAATGTAAATGAAGATCTTACTTTTCGGCTATTAATGTAATTACAGTAATTATGAATATACAAGGGAGAAAGCCACACTACAAACTGTGGTCTAAAAGTTTCAATATTTTTTAAGTAATTGCTGACTCATTTTGCATGTATACATAAAACAACAATGCAATACGATAAAAATCTATTGTAAATATATTTTTAACGGACTCTTTTCTAATATGCATAATTGATAGATGACGCATTGATTGCACTGGATTATATCAGATTACGTGTTTGATAATTCTCATACCTTTCTTCGATTTTGCTCCGATCTTCAATCGTGATGGCCACGTAATGAGGGTACTCGTTCTTTCCATAACCTACAACATGAAATTGATTATATAATTAATATTATCCACTAAATGATCTCTTTTATCGCGTGCTAAGCAAATGCGTGCACATGTGTACGCTAACTTAACCTAATTAAAAAATTCTGGAAAATTCAGAGTATTTTCAGTTTTTTTTTTCCTGTATAGATAAATTTTAAAATTACGTTTTAATTTTTTAATTTAATAGACGAATGATGGATTATATATCCCTTTTCTCTTCTAATAACTTTTTAAGTTTTTTATAATGTTTAAATAATGAAAATGATGATAATTCATCATTTAAAAAGCACTTATCAACTTTTTGAATTATTTCCTTTTCTCTGTGTAACTTTCACGAATATTTTATCTTTTTGATACATTAGCTTCTAGTTATCAAAAAAATTACACACTAAATAACGCGGTTTTATGTATGAAAGAGAATAATATTACTTATATGAATTCTCGAGATTTTTTGAATTTCTTTAATGTATATATATATATATATATATCTCTTAATCCTAAATAAATAGATTTATTTGTAACTGCAAGAGTTTTTTGTCATAGATAAATATTATCGGACAGTCTCCATACAGCTACAAAATATAGAAACTAGTATATTCTTTAATTAATCGACTGATGTTAAAAATTGTTTAAAAGGTCTAAGTAAATTTAAATTATAAATTTTAAAAGTATTTAAACCCGCGGATCATATGATGAAATAATTTTTCTTATCTGTTAATTTCAATCCTCATCTTTATTTCGATCGAATCTCACGCAAAACTTATAATTACTATAATATTTAATATTTTATTTTTTCAAAGATTATAAAATAAATTATGATAAGCGATCAAATTTTTATTTAAGAAAATTTCTGGAATTGTCAAAGATTCCGTTGTATTGCTAAGAATATCCCGTTTGTTCTGCATGCAGTTTCTATCTTTAGACAAGTCCTCATCTGCTTAAATTATTAAGCTCCGACATCTTCTTCTAAGTTTAGACAAAAGATAACTATATTTTTAGATGTGGATGTGTGCCTATATATGCGCGCATGCGCATTTGTTTGTAACTTTTGGATTCAAAGAAAACTCGGATCAGTCACTAACGGAGAGGCAGTTACATTTACAACTATAAATCTCTAAACACAAAACCGTAGAAATTAAAATCGTGAATTATTCGGCACACTGTTCTGTAACTCTAAATAAAATCAGACCAAAACTGATGAAAATTTAGAATTAATATTTGAAGTAATATTATTAACTTTCCAAATCCATACATAGATATATTTATAAATCATGTTTAGTTTTAGAAATAAAGTTGCTTAATTTACAATATGAGATACTATGCACCATTTACAATGTGAGAGGAATAAAGCTCAAAATCGCGCGAATAAGCACGTTGCTAAACACGAACTCTCTCTCTCTGTAATCTATAATCTTCAACTGCCGACTATAAACTACATTTTAACATTTACTTTATTTCTATAAATACAAAAATCTTTACCACGGTCATTTTTGTCTTGGCAAGTCGATGGTAGTAGATGACTTATTGAGGCCTTTTCGAAGAATCTTTGTGAAAGTAGAAAAATGAAGGCGGAATTTGATTGTTAGGGTCGTAAAAGAAAGCGACCACGTTTGGCATCAATTATTGTTAAGCCTTAAAAAGGAAAAACGGCGTTTTTGATTTTTAAATAAAGAGAAGAATAGATCACTGATAACAATAACTTGGTCATTTGCTGGTTTGCAACAGGCACTGAGATGATGTTAATCACGAGTGAATTGAGACATAAATTTACTTTCACTATAGTTAACGTTAAACATGATAAAATGGAAAATCCTGGAAAGTCAGGTGGTTGTTAATCCTGTTCGAAGTTCCACCTCACGATGAATAGATAATTCTCTCTGCGAGTTTGTCGACCTCACAGTGTCGATTTCTGACGATGCGAGGAAAAAGAACAATTTTCAATTCTGATCGCGATTATCAATCGCGACTTCCAGTAGTGTATCACTGTACTCCACTTAGCTGTCACTCGATGCACTTGAATCACTTTCTGAACGTCACGATAGATAACTCTGTCATGTGAAGTAGTCCCTTTATCTCTCCCTCTCTCGAACTTGTTTACAATTGATTTGAGATTGCACGTGAATATTTGAAGTTTTTGAAAAAATAAAAAAATTTTAAGGATTTCAAGATTACCACGAGATCACCGACGCGAAAGAGAACTGACTGACTAACGCGAGATAATATAATGGTTCGTCTGGTCGACTCCGTCTCCCACTATTTCACGATTCACCCCTCCCTCAGTCACGACTCCACTTGATTCTTCACTCCACGTCGCTTACTCTCTTGTGGTCATTGTGATCCTGCCTTCCCTTCTCCTTCCATCGGATCTTCTCTTCCCCCTCTCTTCCTCTACCTTTCTGTGTGTGAATCCACGTATTGCATCGAAGATACTGTTGCCCGCTTGACCTTAAAGGACATATACTTTCGCATCCACGTTGCTTTAATTAGTGATAATCTAATAGACATGGTTTCAAAGTTTTTAATCGTTTCGACCTATTGTGAGTTTGTGAATTTCCGTCTTCTTACTTTTAAGATTTACATTTTAATTATTAGAAATTTCATTATTCATTTCATCATATGTTCGTCAAACGATTAGTGATGAATCATTAATTTAAACTTAGCGTTAAACCATTATAGACTAAAATATTACAATACTTTTTGTGTTTTAATAAATTTTTTGTCATTTAAAAATTGTAAGAATGGATTGCTTTTTTTAGAAATTCATCCAAGAAGACTAATTGCAATATTTTTCATTACGACTATGTAAATTTATATAAGCACATTAACATAGTAAACATGTGTGTGGTGTCAACCACTGAAAACCCATAAATTCTGTGGAATAACATAGTGAATCATATACCGATCGTGTCATTGGTTGAGACGCTCGCATATTATACGTGTGTTTATATCAATTGGTACGCGATAACTTTTAGAATTTATTGCGACGAGAATATGAAACCGTCGAAATATTCTTCGTTTTCAATTTCTTTTGCTTTACATTATTAAATTTACACATTATTTAAACTTAAAAACATCGAATAATAAAATAAAAATTGATTTTATTTTGTAGAAAAATCTAAATAAAGATATAGTTAAATGGCGTACAAAATAATGTAGTATTTATAATATTGCAAATAACGGAACAAAAAAACTTGATAGCTTCTACATACATATATTTCGTATAAACATAAAATATCAAAATATTATGACTATTTTCTCCATGTCTTTTTTGTGAACTAGTTAAAGTAAAAAATAGAAATAGAAGTAAAAGTAGAAAGTAAAAATTAAAGGAGCATTCAATTTTGACACATTTGATATTTTGAGAAAAAGGACGGTAAGCTTTAAATATGAATACTGCCCGTTTGTGAGATAAAGCATTGATTTATGAAAATGCCAATGCTCTATCCTTTACAAATCCCTATATATCCTTCTAGAAGAAAGATAATGACAAAAGTTCGGTTCTTTTATCAAAAAAAGCATGTCTTTTTAAAATATGTTTTCTAAAACTTTCTATTTTAGAGATAAAAAGTTTTAGAAAATTTTCATATTGTGAAAACAAGAAAAATAATACCTAGCAGATACAAGTTTTGAACCAATAATACTGCAAAGTTTATTATCTTTTCTATAAATAATACAGTATTTAAAAATATATCATACACAAATTCACAATCGTATCTACGCGTACGATGCAGCAATAGCAGTTCAATATACGAAGGCTATTCGAAAATCAATCTCCGGTAGGCTTGCAAAATAAAACAAGAAACAGGAAAAACACATTTTATTAGACACAAAAGTTACTTAAATATGTAATTTATTTTTCATAACCGAATTGAAGCACTTGTAGTCGGTACAAGTTTTTGTATGTCCTCATCAAAATACGATGCCGCGCTATGACATGTACCTCAATTCGGATGGCGATTATGTCGAAAAGTAGTGTATATATATAAGTAACTCTTGTGTATAATAAAATGTTTTTCTTGTTTCTTGTTTTATTTTGCAAGCGTATCGGAGATTTATTTCCGAATAGTCCTCGTATATATGTATATTCCTGTAAATCTCTGTATTTTTACAAATTCTCCTGAAATCCAAAAAATTTTACCTTTTTGTAACACAGGTAAACTCGAAAACAGGATATACATCTACATGCAATAAAATCGTACTATCTATATAAATAATCGCGAAAAATGACCGAGAGAAAAAGTAGCGAAGATCTTGTAGTTGGATCAAAATTCAAATAACTTTTTTGTTCGTATATGATTTTCATGCCAGAAATCTTTCACGAAATATCTAAATAATATAAAATATGAAAAACATTACTTTTTTTTATTTTCTCGCTTTCTTTGTTTATAATTTGCTATAATAATAAATTGATTCTTATCTCATCATCAAAACAGCAACAGTTTGACTAAAGCAATAAATTCTTTTTCTTTATATGTATATAAATTTCAATAATAAAGTATTTATATTTTATTAACATGTAAATTTCGCTTTGATATAAGAAAATCTTCCATATTTATTATCTTTCATATTTTTGAATCGAAAAATTTTTCTTTTGTTCTGAGTAAAAGTATAAAAATACCATTTAATCGCATGTGTATCGATTGCACAACAAAGAATGAAAGAAAATTGACGAAGACATTTAAAATATTTTCACTGTTTAAATAACTTTCACTTTGAGTGAAAGAGATTGGTAAAATTTTTTGCATTTTTATTTGAAATAATGCTTAAAATGTTTTCCCGAGTCATTATTTTTGCCCGATAAATAATCTCACACATTCTGTCAATTATATTTTATTTTTATGGCTACACTTTCTCACTCCAGGGTGTCTATTCCCTGGAAAAATCTAGAAAATCCCTTCTCAAGGATTTCGTTTTTGAAAAATCACGGAATTCTTATAGAATTTTATTCGAAACCATGGAATTTTTCAAAAATTCTCTCTGATTATTTTGTT